AACGAGGAATGTCAGGGATGGGAAGGGCCTTAGAAATGTCAGGGCTGGGAGGGGCCTGAGAACAGGGAATGTCAGAGCAGGGAGGGGCCTGAGAACAGTGAATGTTAGAGCCGGGAAGGGGCTTAGAACAGGGAATGTCAGGGCTGGGAGGAGCTTAAAACAGAGAATGTCAGAATTAGGAGGGCCCTTAGATCAGGGGATGTCAGAGCTTTGGGTGGGGTGGTCCTTAGGAATCCTCTAGTCACCCAGCCCTTTCACAGAGGAGGAACGTAGGCCCAGAGGCCTGTGAGTTGCCCAAAGGGAAGCATACCAAAGGTTATTTTGGGCAGAAAATGGCAACTTTTTCCAAGTTCTGTACAGGAGGGGACGGGCTGAGACAGGCAGGATGAGTCAGCTGCCTGGGCCTGGATTCCCTCAATCCCCCACCTCTCCTCCTGCAGCCTTTCATCCATGCCCCTGCCCCCCCAACCTCCATAGAATGATGTCATTTGAAGCAGGAAACTCCCTTCCTCCTGGGACAGAGAGAGGGCAGCCAAGGAACCCAAGGGGGGTGAGGATCAAATGGGATCATATTTATAAAGCTCTTAGCCCAGTGCCGGGCACATCCTATGTGCTTCATAGTGCGTGCTCCCTGTGGGGATGTGGGGAGAGGGTCAGAAAGGGGAGAAACTGGGAAGACCTGGGAGGCCAGCCAGCAATTCAGCAAAACATTGACCAAGCTCCATAGAAGGAGCTGGAGGAGAGGAGAACAAAGGTCAGGGGGACACAGGTCGGTTACCCAGTGACCTGCAGCGGGGGGGGGGGGCACTTGGTGTAAAGACCACTGAGCACCTGACTGCAAGTTTTGACTCTGCCAGGGACTTGCTATGTGACTGTGGGTGAGTTACTTTTCCTCCCTGGGCCTCAGTTCCTCCATCTGTAAAATAAGGAAGTTGGACTAGATAATCTCCAAGATTTCTCAGCTTAGACATACCCTGTTCTAAGGCCCCTCCCAACTCTAATATCTCATGTTCTAAAGCTTCTCCTAGGTATGTTCTAATAGTTCTCCCTATTCTGACATCACATGTTCTAGTGCTTCTCCCAGGTCTGACATCCCATGTTCTAAAGCCTTTCCCAGGTCTGACATTGTATGTTCTAAAGTTTCTCCCAGGTCTGATATCCCATGTTCTAAGGACTCTCCCAGGTCTGACATCCCATGTTCTAAAGCCTCTCTCAGATCTGATATCACATGTTCTAATAGTTCTCTCTATTCTGACATCACACGTTCTAATGCTTCTCCCAGGTCTGACATCCCACGTTCTAATGACTCTCCCAGGTCTGACATCCCATGTTCTAATAGCTCTCCCAGCTTTGACATTCCAGGTCGGAACCCCTCAGGAACATGGTGGGCGGAGAGTTGGGGTGGAGGGGCAGCCTCTTGAACACAAAGCACAAAATCCCATGGGGCACCACCCTGCAGTTACAGTTCTGAGTAGGGGGATGGGATGGGGTGGGGGGAGGCTGGGCTCTGTGATGGAGGGTGTGGGAGAAGCTGAGCTGCCGGAAAACAGCAGGCCATGTGACCTGGGCTCCCTCCGGGCTCCTCCTTCTCCCCCCTCCCCACCTCTGGAAGGAACTTGTAAACAAGCGTGCTGAAGCTGACTCACAGCCCAGCCTGGCATTCATGCCAACTGACGGGAGGGGGGAGGTGCAGGCACTAGGGGGAGGAGGGCACACTCAGCACAGCCTCAGCCCTCCCATCTCCAGGGGCTGCAATGGGGACAGGACAGAGGAGCGAGGCAGAGAGCTGTCAGCACTGCTTGGGGCACACAGGGGCGGGTCATCACGCCCAGCCCTTCATATCCCCCAGGACGAAGGGGCAGAGACATTCACCGACTGATCCTGAGTCAGAGCCGGGCTCTGGGCTAGCTTTTCACCATGCCCCACCTCTGTCCCCTCACAGTGAGCTCAGCCACTTGGTAAGATGAGAGAGCCCCCTGCAGCCGTCCTTTTGGACGGGCCGCCTCTGACACGCCCTTAGTGCGTCACCTCAGGCAAGCTCCTTCCCCTCTCTGGGCCTCAGTTTCCTCATTTGCAAAATGAGAGAGTTAGACTAGATGCCTTCTAAGGTTTCTTCCAGCTCCAGAGCCAACATCCTACCATGAAGTCCAAACTTCTTATCCTGGCATTCAAGGCCCTGCACAAAATGACCCCCACCCCCCCTCAGTTTTCTAGTTTCCTTTCACACGCTCTGCAGGGACCTCTGAAGTCATCTAATCGAGCTCGTGCCTCCACTGACAAGCGGTCATCCAGCCATTACTTGAAGACTGTCAGTAAGGGAGAGCTCACTACCTCATGAGGTGGTGTATTCCACTTTGGGACAGCTCTCATTATTTGAAACCTTGCTGGGAAATGGAGGAGAGATTCAGGTTAATTCGGATGAACCTAAACCTGCCTCCTGCACCTCCCCCAGGGAAGGTCTGCCCTCGGGGGTCAAGCGAGCCTCTCTTCTGCTTGACTGGTCTACAGATACTGGAAGACAGAGGTCATGTCCCTTCCCACCCCCAGCCCTCTAAGCACCCCTTTCTTCAGGGGAAGAGTTTTGAGGACCCTCACCATAATGGTGGAGGGCTGATTAATCTGTGTTTCCATCTTTGTGCTCCGTCCCTTCAACTCCTGCCTTCACTTTCCCACCTCCGGGACTTTGCTCACTGAGGTGCCCTCCACCTGGAGTGCCCTTTTTTTTTTTAGGTATCTAATTAATTTATTGGTTAATCGATTATATCACCAGCACTGGAGTGCCTTCTGTACCCTGTAGCCTGGTCCTCCACCTGTTAAAAGCATTCAAGGTTGAGCTCAGGTACTACTTCCTCCAAACCCAAAGGGATCATGGGAGCCCAGATTGAGAGCCAGAAGGGACCTCTGAGGCCACTGAGTTCAACCCCGTCATTTTACGGACAAGGAAACTGGGAAGAGAGGGGAAGTGACGTTACATAGGTAGCAAGTGGCCAAACGCAGATTCGAACCCAGGTCTACTAACTCCAAATCAAGCCTGCTTTCCACAGAGATGATTTGGCAACCAAGGTCAGCCCAGGGAGATCCTGCTGCTGGGCATATATACAGATGGCTGGGCAGGGCCGGCTCAGGACAGGCTCCTGGGGCAGCCACATCTCAAGGAGGGACGTGAATCACTCTCCAGCCTGGAATGTGGGAGGGGGTCTCGCCCACCCTGGGGCCTCTCCAGAACGTCTACCCTTGATGCTGTCATCTCTAGGAGAGAGTCTCCATCCTCTCCTGGCCTCCCAATTCAGAATCACCAAGCCAGGGCAGGCACCTTTGGCAGCTGCCCTGCTGGACAGCTCTTATGAGGGCAGAGTTCATACAGTGGCCGCTAGGGGGTGCCACAGTGCACAGAGTGCTCAGCCTGGAGTCTGAAGTCCCAGGTTCAAATTCTGCCTCAGACATGTACAAGCTGTGTGATCCTAGGCAAGTCACTGATCTGCTTTCTGCCTCAGTTTCCTCAATTGTAAAGTGGGAATCATAATAGCATCCACCTCCCAGGGTTGTTGTGAGGGTCAATGAGAGAATACTTGTAAAGCACTTAGCAATGCCTGGCACATAATAGGTGCTTAATAAATGCTTGTTCCCTTTCCCCTTTCCCTTGGAAATCCTTAGCATGAATCCTGTTTATCCCATTCAGCAGAGGGATCAAATTTGCCTCCACCAAAACTCCCTGCTGTGTCACTGGATGTCACAAAATGAGTAAAAACACAACAAAACATAGATAATGTTAGTCTGTGGCTTTCTAAATGTATATGCAGCTGGTTTTGAGTTTGATACCACTGCCCATCAGTGCTTCCTGACCTAAGCACACAGTAGGTGCTTAATAAACACTTAATCTCTCCTTTCTCCCTTCAACAACACAATTTTCCTTATGGTGGGGGCTCCAGCTGCCTAAAAGTCAAACCAAGTCGGGATTAGGGATTAGCCTTGCAAAGATGGGCTTTGCTAGAAAGCAATCCAATCCAACATACATTTATTAAGCACTTACTACGTTCTAGGCTGCTGGGGATACAGAAACAATGGAAAAGTAGTCCTTCCTTTCAGGGAGCTTACATTCTCCTGGGGCTGATAGAGTGGAAAGAAACACTGGACTCAGTCAAAAGACCTGGGTCTGAATCCTCATGCTGCTGCTCACTGTCTGGGTGAACGTGGGCAAGTGGCCTCCACCTCTGGGCCTCAGTTTCCTCCTCTGTGAGATGGGGGAGTCTCTATTAGATTATCTCTGAGGTCCCTGTCAGCTCTCCAGCAGCCATCCTTTTAGAAAGGTGATGGGCTATGGGTGTGGGATGTTAGATGGGGCCGCTGGATTGGGTGTTCACGGCTTCTCCCGCAAGGGAAGGTTCATGAAAGTAGGGTGGGGGAGGAGAGGGGGTCCTTCCCGGAAGTGACTGACCAAAACACAAACACAAAACTTTTTAAAAACCCTATGATGCCAGGTAAGCTCCCTGAGGGCAGGGACTGGCTTTTGGATCCCCAGCACTTAGCAAAGAAAGTTGCTGTTCAATGTTGTCTGACTCTCTGTGACCCCATTTGGGGCTTTCTTGGCAGAGATACTGGAGTGGTTTCCCGTTTCCTTCTCCAGCTCATTTTACAGATGAGGAAACTGAGACAAACAGGGTGAAGTGACTTGCCCAGGATCACACAGCTAGTGAGTGTCTGAGACTGAATTTAAACTCAGGAAGATGAGTCTTCCTGACTTCAGGCTGGCACTTCATCCACTCACTGCAGCACCACCTAGTTGCAAGCCTGACACACACTAGGTGCCTAATTAATGCCTGCCTGCTTGTCCTCTTCTGGGCCCTGTTCTGGGCAAGGCAGGGCAGGTCCAAAGGAAGTTTCTGGTCTCTCTCCAAAGGAAATGTTTGGAATAACTGGTTCTTGGGTGTCATCTCCCCCCACCCCCCAGCTCTCTGGTCCCTGTGTCCAGCAGCCTGGGCAGCCCCAGGCCCCAGATCTCAGACCTCAAAGATGACCAGGGCAGGCAAGTGGTGAGGGGGGGAGGGGAAGAAACCCATTTCCTCACCCCACCCCACCGTCACTTGTTGTTACTTTCTTTCCCCTGGAAACTACTTTGTATAAAGTTCGTGTTTACTTAGCTGTGGCCACGCTGGAACGCTAGCCTTTCCCCAAGGAAGTGTCTATACTATGTTGTCATTTATCTTTGTGGGGATTAGACAGCTCCGGGGCAGGAATCACAGTCTGGTACAGGGAAATCCCGTGTCTGGCACTGACTGCACAGGATGTGTGATCTTGGGCAAATCATTTCATCTGCCCAGGTCTCAGTTTCCTCCTCCGTAAAATGAGAGGGTTAGGCTGGGTGCCTGACGGATGGAGCTAGACATGTGATTCCACGGGCATAGGGGACTGACCCTCAGATGCAGAACCTCCCTATACCAATACAGGCCAGTGCCTTCTTCCCAACACAGTCCCAGCGAATTGTCCGAGGGCAGCGAAAAGTTCAGTGACTCATCCAGGGTCATACAGCCAGGATAGGTTACAGGCAGGATTTGAACCCAGGACTTCTTGACTCCTATGCTATCTCCCTTTCCTCCACAGCATGGTATGTGCTTAATGTTTGTTAAATGAGATACTGGGATGGGTTGAGCATGAAGGGCTTGCCATCCCCTGGGAATAAGAATGGAAGGACTTTGCAGAGGTAAGGGCCTGTGGGGGCAGAATGTGGCATATACTTTCAGCTTTGGAAGGTGTGTTGGTTAGTTTTTGCAGAATTACCTTTTCCTCCTTTCTCTTTTTAACTCTTTATACAGGATTTAGCTCTTTATAGAGGGTAGTGGGAAAGGGAAGGTGAAGGGAATAAGCATTTATTAAGGACCTACTATGTGCTAAGCCCTTTACGAATATCTCATTTGATCTTCACAACAACCCTGGGAGGTAGGTGTTGTCACTATCCCATTTTACAACTGAGGAAACTGAGGCAAAGAGCGGCTAAGTGACTTGTTCAGGGACTCACAGCTACTAAGCATCTGAGGCTGAATTTGAACATGGGTTTCCTGACAATCCACTGAACCACCTAGTTGTTTGGGGCAGTAATATAGTGGGAAATAAAAAGGATGCACAAACTAAAGAAATCAATTAAAAAACAACTTTCAAATTGCCTGTCAAAATCCTCTTCCTTCAAGAGTGCTGGTGTCAGGAAGACCTGAGTTCAAATCCTACTTTAGACAACTCTTAACTGTAACCCTAGGCAAGTGGCTCAACTTCTGTTTGCCTCAATTATCTTCATCTGTAAAATCGTGACGATGATAATAGCCTCAACCTCCCAGGGCTGTTGTGAGGACCAGATGAGTTAATATTTGTAAAGCACTTTGTAAATATTAAAGCATTACGGGAGTGTTATTATTGTTACTGTCCACAAAAGTTCTGTGATCTCTTGCCCCCCTCCTTAGATCCCGCTCATATCTATGATCTAGCCAGATTAGACGGTCACCTCCCTGAGGGCAGGGCTATGCCTTCTTCCTTTTTGGACCCACAGTGCCTTGCAGTGTGCTGGGTGATCCATAAGCATCTGGCTCTATAAGAGGCGGGGTGGGGAAGGGAAGAAGGGATGATGGAGGGGAATCCTTGGAGGCCAGGGCTCAGTCTGGGGAGTGCTGGTATTGTTACTGTGACAGACAGACGGATGGACACACACGTACACACAAACAAGTCTTACTTTGGGGGCCATCCTTTCCACTTGACCAAGTATTCCACTTTACCCTGGGAAGAGAGAGAGAGAGACAGGAGGGGAGGCAGAGAGAACACACAGTGAGCGCTAAATGGAAGCCACATGTCCTTGGCTGAAAAGGTGCTGAGGAAGGGCTGAAGGACGGCTGGACCCAGACTTCTGGATCAAGAAAGGCTGGGAGCATATTGACGCGATCGTCAGCAACACACCATCTCTTGATTGGCCACAGAGGGCACGGAGCTCCTCCAGCTCTGCCCTGTGCAGCCCGAGGACTCCCACACCCAGGGAGCAACGGCACCCTGGGCCACCCTACACTTCCCTTGACCAGGAAAGAGCCTTGGGATGAAAGTATCCATTCTCCAGCATCTCCAAAACTATTTGTAAAAACTTTTTAAGTCCGAACAGAAGAAAACTCCTTCTTGTGATATCTCCCCTCCCTCTAAGCCTACCAACACCAAACTCAGCTCTTGGGGAAGTGATGGGCTAAGGAGTTGGGGCCTTGCACTTGGGGGGCCTGGCCTGTGGTCTGGATCTCAGTCCCCCATTCCTGTATAAGAGGCAGCATGGAGTGATGGAAAGAGCTCCAGGCTTGGCACCCGAAGGGCTCCAGCTGAGTCCTCGCAATGAAATTCAGTAGGCTAATCACTTAACTCCTGGGGACACCTCAGTTTTCTCATCTATAAAATGGGATCATAGTCATGACTGTGGATGCAGGCGGTTTCTTTAAGGAAAGTGCTTTGGAAACTAAAGCCCCACATAATGTGGGCTATTCGCTGGAGCTGAGAGGGGCCTCAGGGATCATGTAGTTCAATTCCCTCCTTTTACAGATGGGGAAACTGAGGCCCAGGGAGGTCAAGTCCCAGCTCTTAGGGTCCAAGCTCTGGAGCTAGGAATAACTTCAAAGGCCATTTAATCCAGCTCCCCTCATTTTTACAGACAAGGGAACTGAGGCCCAGAGAAATTAAATGATTTGCCTAAGGTCACGTAGGAAATAAATAGCTGAGCCAGGATTTGAACTCCGATCCAAATCTCGTTACTACGCTGTGTACACACATTAACAAAGATTTCTTTTAATACACACAGAAAAGGAGTGCCGCCTGTAGTTTATAGTGGTAAGTGAGCCAGCCCCCCAATCAGAAAACCTAGTTTCCAGTCCCACCTTTATAGGTTTCATGACCTTGGCAAGGCACTTGAAGCTCCGAGAGTACCCAGGCAACTCTGTAAGACTAAGTTACAGATGATGGCTGATGGCTCCTGTGAAGGGAATTGCCATGCTGGGAGTTCTCCATGAAATTAAAATCACAGTCATGGAGCTCAAAAAGTGGTGGCAAGGCCTACCTGGAGAGCTGCGGGCTCCAGAGAGGCAACAGAAACTGCGAGGGTCTCCTTAACAGCTAAATGACAATGACCAGCCTTCTTTAAAGTGGAGCTAGGGGACCTGGATGGAGGTCAACCTCTGGCTTAACCTCTCGGGGCTCCTTTGCCACATGAGGCCCCGTTAGCTCTAAAGCAGATTCCACAGGACTCAATTAGGAGCCGGGGAGGGGGGGGGTCGTTGGCCTCTGTGTTCCCCTTGCTTGCTGATTGACTGCCTTGCCGTCTACGGTGGAAGAGAAAGCCCCTCCCTAAGGCTCAGGAGGTAGAACCAGAGTGATGCTCTCAGCTTTGAGATCAGAATCAGACTCCAGGAAGGAGGGAAAAGAATGACTGGGGTGGGATGGGGTGGGATTCCGCCGCTGGAAGCCAGGGTAGCTTGGAGACTTCTGCCGGAGCTCTGGAAGCCTACTAAAGCGGCGGGTTCACTCTGCCCAGGGCCCTGGGGCAGCCAAAGGGCAGGGTACCACAACCCAGCTCCGCCCTCCACCTCTCCCACCCCTCCCCCACCCCAGCCTGGGTCAGGCTCTGAATGGACCTGAAAGGCCCAACCCTCTTCACCCGGAGGCCGGGTCTCTCCGAGAGGGCGGAGTTTGGGGGCCGTCCCAGGACCTAGAAGAGCTCCAAAGTGTTGGCCCTGGCGAGCTAGGATCCTCCAGGGAAGTCTGAACACGCGGTCTTGGGACATGCGGTCTTGGGACACGAGGGGGGTGGGGAAGGATGGGGAAGGGGGGGGCATGGGGGAAGAGGAGGAAGTGGTGTCCCAAGAATCATGGCCAAGTTCACCTGCCGCAGACACTGGGGGGGGGGGGGGGGCACGCAAGACTAGCGACTTTTTTTTTCCCTCCTGCAAAGTTCCACCCCCAACTCGAGTACTTAAAGGTTACTCCGCTGCTGAGGATCTCAAAGCGCTCTACTGGCCACTCAGGATAACCGCTTTATCCTCCCAGTTCTTCAAGGCGGGAAACTGAGGCGGGTATTCGGCTGAGCCTTCGGGAAGCTGCCAAGATCACTGGCCAAAGGCTGCCCAGCCTTCCTCACCTGACTCCCCGAGTGCCCAGCTCCGCAAAAGAGGCAGAGGCGCAGAAAGGAGACCCCCCCCCCAAACTCGCTGCCGGGGAAGTGCCTCCTCCCCCTGCCAGCACCTCGCTTGCACCAGGACGGTTCGGGGGCCCTCTCCGTGCCTCGCCACTGGCGGCGGGCCCCGAGTGGCCATGCACAGAGGTGGGACGCGGAGGCCGCCGCCCCCTGGCCAGGCTCACCTTGCGCACGCGCTTCTTCCGGATACTCTCCACGGCGAACACCTGCTCCCCAATAGCAGACAGCTCCATGCGGGAGGCTGGCGGGGGCGGCTGGCCAGAAAACCCCGGGGTTCGAGAGGAGGCGGCCGCCGCTGCCGCTGCGGCTGCGGCTGCGGCTGCTGCCACCCGAGGGTGCGCGGGGTCCGGGGCGGGCGCGCACACACGCACACAAACACGCACCCACACCGCGCGCGGCCACGGCCACGGCCACGGCTACGGCCACGGCCACGGTCGCTGCCACACACCCCCTCGCGCTCACTCACGCCGCCGCCGCCGACGTTCCATTTTAGAACCTGCGCAACATTTTCCCCGGGACGCACGCGCGTCCGCGAGCCGCCCCGCCCCGCCCCCTTGCCCCAGGCCCCGCCCCCCGCGCCCAGTGACATCGGTTACCCCTTATCGGAACTGCCCTAGGCCAGGGCGGGGCGAGGAGGGGCGGGGCCTCGAGTCCCCGCGGCCACTGGGGACCCGGGATCCGGGAGCCCGCCCCAAGCCCGACAGCCCTCCCTCCCGGGGTGGGGGGAGGGAGAGGGGCTGCGTCCCGGCCACCCCCCCGGGACCCCCAGCTCCGACCCGGAGCGGAGGCTGGGGGATGCGGCAAAGGCATCCCGGGGCCGGGCTGTCCGGGACCCGGGGCGGCCGAGAGAAGGGCCAGGAGCGGGCAGCTCCCGCGGGTCCTCGGCCGGGGAGGCACCTGCCCTCCGAGGGTCTGGAGGTGATTGGAACAGGCAATGAATGTCCAACGGGGCTCGTCATCCCTAGCGTGCTCCCTACCTGGAGGTGTGCCCGGGCCCTCTTCTCTATATGCTGTCTTGGGGACTCTAGCTTTATGGGTTTCCTTCCAGATACATATATTCTCTCTCTCTCTCTCTCTCTCTCTCTCTCTCTCTCTCTCTCTCTCTCTCTCTCTCTCTCTCTCTCTCTCTCTCTCTTTCTCTCT